TATCAAAGGGCATAAGATTTTAGGAGAGTTCAAATTATAATGAGTTCAAGTTACAAAGATGTTAATTTTCCTCAAATTAGTTTTTAAATGAATTGAGAAAGCAATAAAAATTTCTGATGCATTTTCCATGAACTTGACTTATTTATTATAAAATTAATTAAAATAAACGTGGAAAGGTGCATGAATAGCTAAGTCAGTCCTGGAAAAGCAGACCAGAGAGGGTAAACTTTCTTGTCTGGTTATAAAGACACTTCTCAGTAATAAAATATTGTGGAACTGATTTAAGAATAAGAAAATAAATGGGTGTAGCAAAATAGAGATCTCAGAGATAGTTGCTTTTACGTATTGGAAATTCACATATAATAAAGGACTGTTTCATATATTGTACTGGGAAAACTGACTTATCATTTGGAGACAATTAAAATGATTTCCTAGCTTCCATCATCTAAAAATGCATGAAAGACCTAATTATAAAAAGCAAAACTACTGAATAAATGGAGGATAAGATCGAAGAGTATCTTTATGATCTAGGGATGGGGTGGGGCTTTAAAAGAAAGTCTTAAAATGTAAAAAAACAGGTAATAAAAGATGATGTCTTAGATGATGCCCAAATTAAGTTTTCTGTTCAACAAAGGCCAAATAGACAAGGTTAACAGATAGAACACAAATTGGTTGTACGCCTGTAACCAAAATAAGGAGCAATATCTAAAATAGATAGGAAGCTCTTACAAATTGACAAGAATAAAAGACTAAAGCTCACTAGAAAAAAATTGGCAACTAATATACACAGTCAATTTGTGAAAAGGTAGCTACAAGTGTATGAAGGAAAATGCAAGTTTAAACAATAGTAAGATAGTTTAGATCTCTAAAAGCTTACAAAGTTAAAGCTGAGTTACAACAAGTGTGGATGGGAAACAGAGAAAGTTTATGCACTTATGTGAGAGACTAGGCTAATACTGATTTTTTTGTTTTTAGAATGACCTGGCTATATATAGTAAAAGTTGATAAACTTATCCTTAATCCAGAGTACCTACTACTGGGTAAATATTTCAAAATTATTCACAAAAATACCATTAAAATGACTTGGATGAAGTTGTTGAGTGCTGCAAAGTCTGTTTAGTGAGCAACTGGAAGCAGTGTAGGTGACCAGCCCTGGGGAAATGAAGAAACAAAATGTGGTGGCTACACCTTCTAGAAGGTCAAGTTGGAAGCAGGGGCTAAACACACAGCAGCATGGATAGATGGGAAGACCCCTATGCTGAATGAAAAAGAAAAGAGAACCATTCCCATAGAATAAAAATACCTATACACACTGAATAATGCTATGTGTTTTATAAGGATGCATACATATTCAGATCCACATATCAAATATGTATGCATTATGGCCATAACCTATGACAGGGAGGAGTGGTGGTGGGTGTCAGGTGGGGCGAGAAGGAGACTAATGAGGATGGAAACATGCACACACATGCACACACATGCGGAACAATGAAGATGTGCATTGGACAGAGAAGTACGATGCATACAAAACTTTTAATCTGAGAAAACAAAAGTCTTCCTTGTCCTGAAGAGATTTGGATTTTGAAAAACCATTTCCAGTTGTGGATCTTTAAGCCTCAGCCAATGAATTATTCATTCAGCCAACAAATATTTATTCATCATCTGCTAAATGCCAAGCACTATTCTAGGTGTAGGGATGGTATAGTGAATAAGACAAAAAAAGCCGACCTCTGGTTTGGGGATTTTGGTTGCCTCTTCCTGGCACTAGACTGGGTAAATTGTTGCCTAGATCTAAGATCAATGATGGGTATGGTCTGTCTGGGCCTATGGATCGTGGTGCTGGGGCTGCACTTCACCTGGGTGGCTACAGAAAAGACTTGAAAATTCACAAGTGAAGAAGACCTTGTGATCTGAAATTATTCAGCACACACATATGTCTCCTGTTGTCTTTTCATGGGAACAGCTATATGTTATAGCTATATTTATGTTATATATTATACATTTATGTTAATATATACTATAGCATTTTTTTGAGACTACTGCTCTCATTGTTCAGAAATCTACATGCAGCCCTAGAGCAGATTTTTCACTTTAGGAGTTTTAGCTAAGTTTGTGAAAACCCAAGCTCTTGGCTCTAGTGGCATTGCCTTATAAGTAGTTGAACCACTGGGGGATAAATGAGAGATATATTGCTGCTATTAGAGAATGCTCTTGGACTGGAAGTGTGGCTAAATGGTAGAGTGCCTGCTTTGCAAGCATGAAGCCCTAAATTTAAACCCCAGTTCCACCAAAAAAAGAAAAGTGACTAAAGAAAGCTTTTTTTTTTTTGGCATTGTGTTTTTGTTTCAAAGCTATTTATTCCCTATTGGGGAACAAAAATGAAATTGATAAGTAGTATTAGGTGAAACTCCCGATGTTAGACTGCTATAAAATCAGTCCTCAAATCAATTCTACGCTCCCAAGCCAGTAAATTATTTAAATACATAGATCTACATGTCCATTCTATATGCTTTCACTATACCTTTCTATGTGTGTAGCCCTGTTGTATTAGAGTTACAAAGATGAAAGAGAGACTTTCCTCAAAAATAGAGAATTCTGTGATGTCAAAATTTATTTTCTCATGGGAACAAAGTCATGTGTGCTTGTTAGTTTCTCAGGCAAACCAACAAAAGTCTATTTAATCCATAGAATAGCCTAAATCCAGTGCTAATATTACTATACAGAGCTCTGGGCAAAAACCAACTATACTTCATACAATAGAAAATCAGATAGGAAGAGTTTCTTCATTTTTTTCTTGGGCTTATGAACAACCATAAGAAAATGTCTGGGACAGGTCTGGATTTTTTTCTTTTCTTTCTTTTTCTCCCTCCCTTCCTTCCTTCCTTCCTTGCTTCCTTCCTTCCTTCCTTCCCTCCCTCCCTCCCTTCCTTCTTTCTTTTCTTTTCAGTGGTACTAAGCATTAAATTTAGGGCCTTGCACTTGCTAGGCTGGTGCTCTATCACTTGAGCCCATCTATCAGCTCCTGTCGTGTTGGTTGTTTTTGAGACTGGGTCTTGCTTTATGCTTGTCTGGACCATGATCCTCCTATGCTTCCCCACATAGCCAAGCCATTGGTTGAGATGGGGTCTTGTGAACTTTTTGCTTGGGCTGGCCTTGAATGGCAATACTTCTGATCGCTGCCTCCCAAATAGCTAAGATTACAGGCTTGAGCCACAGTGCCTCACTTAGTTTTTCTTTTAATTTAGAAAAAGTATTTTATTTTTAAATTGACAAATAAGTATTATATATATTTATGTTGTACATTATAATATTTTGATATGAACATATATTACATATATTACAGCTAAATTGAGCTAGCTAGCATGTACATTACCTCACATATTTTTTTGTGATAAGAACACCTAAAATCTATTCTTTGAATAATTTTCAAGTATATATTCTGTGGTTATTAACTACAGTCCTCATGATGTACAATAGATTTCTTGAGCAGTATTCCTCCAATTGAAATTTTAGTATTCTTTTACTAACGTCTTCCCAGCCTCTTGCTTCCATCCCAGGTCAACTACTATTCTACTCTCTGAGTTCATTTCTATATTCTAATATGGAAGATCATGTGGTTTTATTCACTCTTGCCTTCCCTTCTGAGTCTTTCTCCTTCCCAAATGCTCAGTGTCTTCATGCTGTTCTGATTCTTCTCTTCGTGCCTTTCTCAGGTCTGTGACATCTTTCACTGAACAAGATTCTACATTGATTTCTAGTTTTCTTCAACAGCCCTGATCTTAATTAGTTATGAGGAGAAAAATGTGATTGAACTAATTTTCACTCCTTCCCACAGCAAGAGATTCTTGCATTTTGATAACTGTCCTTGCTCTGTGTGCCCACACTTGGGAAGGTTCCAGTATAGTTTTTGGGTGTTATTTCTGATTCAATGTATTATTAATAATTTAAAATCAGCATGCAATCACTTTCTTCCCAGATTCTCTTCTTCAAATGTTCATCTACATAATCAGCTACTGTGAAATTGTTTAGAACTAATATTTTGAGATTTGTGTTGTTTAGAATTAGTGTAGATAAAAATTCAAGATGAATTAGTGTGTATGGTATTCTTTTATTAAAATACATGTTAAAAATGATGGTTAAATTGTCCAGCACTCATGTTCCCAAACTTAAATTGATATTGGTTGTAATTCCATGTATAAAATTTCCATGTATACTCCTACCATAATTATTTTCATAACTTAAAAGTAGTCTCAGAATGGGAAGAAAACAGTGAGTAGATGAACCGCAATGTTATTTTGAAACATAAGCATAGTTTAGGATTCACCATATTAAAAAATGAGATAAAATTATTTTTAAAATTGGAATGATCTTTAAGTTTGCATTACTGCTGACTTGAAAGCAGAGGATATAGGACATGGGTCCTTTATTTCTGGTCACTTCTAGAGATAAAAATCTATGAAGCTGGTAGGAAAATGAGTCCGTGACCAAAATGTTTACTCAGTTACTATAGGAGATCAAAGAATATTATACTAAATTGGAATCTACCAAGACAAAGCAATTTTTTTCTTCGAAAAATCTATAGTGTTTAGACAATTTCTGGGATTTATTTGTAAAAGCACCCTCTGAGCCCTAATAGTGACGTCTTAGGGAAACACTTTCATCTCAAGGTGGGAAGGATAGGAGGTGGTGCTTTGTGGGCTCCTATGGTGGTTAGGTAGTTCTCAGAAGACAGTACTGGAAATTAGATAATTGCTGATGTCATATTTTTCGCAACACAAAAAATTTAGTGTCCTGGGGGCTATAAAAGCAGCAGCTACTACCTTTCCTATCACAAGCAGAATCGTCCAAACAGGTAAGCATTCAGCAAGCCAGTATAATTCATTAGCCTATTTGGTATGATGTTTCTTGTTTAATTTGTTTCCCTCATGTTTGCCTTTTGTTCTCTTGGTACCAGGTTCTTCTTTCTCAGTCACCAATTGTTTAAGTTGGAGTTGTCTGTGATGGCTGCTCTACAGAAATCTGTGAGTGTTTCCCTTATGGGGACCCTGGCCGCCAGCTGCCTGCTTCTCACTGCCCTGTGGGTACAAGGGGGCACAGCGGTGCCCATCAGCTCCCACTGCAAGCTTGATGAGTCCGACTTCCAGCAGTCCTACATCACCAACCGCACCTTCATGCTGGCCAGAGAGGTACGCATGCCAGCATCCTCTTTCTCATCGTATTTACACGGGCCCAGACATTTTCTTTGAAGAACGTCGAAGTTCTTTAGCAACCTATCATTTATTCCAACAAGTACAGAATTTTCTGTCTCCTCAGAGGCTTTTTGAGGACCCAATTTTATCATAATTCCTTCCATTTTAGTCTTTAGAGTACAGAGAGTGAGTTTTATCTGAAGAGGAGGCACTAAATAGCCCTTCTGATTAGTAACCTTTTCTTTACTCCTCTGTTATCATTTTAAACTCAGAAACACAGCTGAATTCTGTCTTTAATTTTAATGAGATTGCTCTGGGGGAAGGGAAGGTGCATATCTCCACTTACAGGTTTTTCTTCTATCTCCTCAATGTCCAGGCACTTAGTCTTTTCTTCTCTTCCAGGCTAGCTTTGCAGATAACAACACAGATGTCCGTCTCATTGGGAAGAAACTGTTACAAGGAGTCAATGTAAGCTAGCATTCTCATGAACAGGGCACTGAGCCATCCGTGATTAGTTGGCCCAGTGGACAGGTCTTCTGATATGAGTCCCCTAATATGACCCCTGCTGCCTCTCCTCTACCTGCAGATGAGGGAGCATTGCTATCTGATGAAGCAGGTGCTTAACTTCACCCTTGAAGAAGTGCTGCTGCCCCAGTTGGACAGATTTCAGCCCTACATGCAGGAGGTGGTGCCCTTCCTGGCCAAGCTGAGCAGCAAGCTGAGCCCATGCGTAAGTCCTTCTCTTAGTTGCATCCACCCCACTCCCAGCTGCCTTCCTTCCCTCCTTCTTCCATGTAGAGCTCTTTTCCCCACTGTCTCTTGCCCCAGCTCCATGCTGCCAGTGAGAAGGGCCTCCACAACACTATCATCAGGAATCAATCCCAGGGTGATTGTTTTGACTTTGAGACATATTTTTGAGTTTACAGTGGCACGTGGGGTCTAGCAGACAAGTGTACAGAAACCTCATTGTTTGTGTGTGGAAAGACAGCAACTCAGATTAGAAAAGAAGTGGAGGAGAAAGAAGGGAATGGGAAGACTTAATGGTGGTGGATAGGTAAAAGTGCTCCCCTTTTGATGTCGTGGGAAGTGACAAAATCAGAAGTGTGAGAACTTGATGCTTCTGAATACTTAAAACTATGAAACATGTCTGGAGCAGAGGCAAAATGAAGGGGATCTGATATTTATTGAGAAGGACCTAACTGTTTTCATAAGATACTTTATGCACAGTTCTTGTTCTGAGCTCAAAATTTTGATGAGGTACACTTAGGGTTTTGTTCCTGTCAGAATTGGGAAAAAAACCCACTCTATTCTTGCCACAATTTAAGCCTCAGTAGGATTTCCCAGAGTTGAAGAGAGATCCTTTGTAAGAGAAGTACCTGGATTTAGGTGTCCAAGAGAATGCAAGAATTAAAAAAATCTAGGTCATTGGTGAAATCTAGGTCATTGTGGGTAAAATTACTGAGCACTTCCACTCCAGGTAAATTGTCATGTGCCTCAGATGGGTGCTGAGGTTCATAAAGCTTCTGCACACCAACATTAAACTAGTTACTCTTGTTTTTGTTTTGTAGCATACTGGGGGTGACGATCGGCATATACAGAAGAATGTGCAAAAGCTGAAGGACACGGTGAAAGAGGTACCGTTGATGTATATCGATGCTAAGTCATCCAATAGGAAAGATGAATGTCTTCCTTTCTTTGCTTTCTTCCTCCCCTTTGTGTTATTTTACTTGATTCTATTATTTGATTGATTACTTAGGTACATGTATATATATCTGTGTCTACATATATCTAGAAACCAATTTCTAAATTTAGAAATCATAAAATTCTAGAACTAGCAGGGAACTTAGGTCATCTAGTTTCATTATCTTATGCTTTGAGAATGACCAGTGGCAGAGCTAGGGCTAGAATGCAGGTCTCTGATTCCCAGCAGCTCTATGTGTTAATTTTAGTATTATTAATAATTCCTAGGGAAATTTCAGGTTCCCATTGACTCATCTAATCTGCAGAAGTACTTGTTCAAAACTGGAAAAGTGCCTGGTTGCAAACTTATTAAAGCAATTTTTGAAGCCATTAATTTAGAACTCTAAAACTTGGAGAACAATAACAAAAGAGCTGAACTGCATAAAGAATGAATTTCTAGAATCACTGATACTTATATTTTAAATGATCATAATAGAGTACCAATAACAATTTATTTTAGTATAAAAGCAAGAGCAGGTAATCTCTGATTTTTTTACATGGTTTCAAATAGAGTGAAAATATAAAGTGACAGATTTATATAATGCAAGGGAAATCTGAATTGGAAGTCTTCTTTTCTTCCCCTCTTTTTTCACCTTCCTTTCTATAGAGTTACTTCCTTTACTCCCTCACTACTGTGAGCTAGTGTACATTTGTAAGTGACTAAAACCATTATGTGGCCTATTTGGGGAAAGAATACAGTGGGAGACTCAGACTAGCAAGTATGACTCATCCCAAAACCAGAGGGGTGATTGGTAGTAGTGAAAGTGATGCTCTCTGCAACCAGGTGTAATTAAATACTCAGAAACAAGAAGACTTTAGTTGATGAATTTTCACTAACACACTCAATTCAGTAACACCTCAATTTTTCCTCTCTTCTACCTGAAGTTTTAAAAAATTCTTCCTGAGCAGAGAGCATGACGGTTTCTTCCTTTGATTATTGAAGGCTTTGTAGTTTTTCACTGTGAAGTTCAATTCTCTTTTTAAAGACTCTCACCTAGACACATAGGCTGAATGTTAGCATGCCATATATAAGACATGCTTTGTGCATCTTGTTTGAGAAGTTCCTGATTTCAACTTACCTTGTTGTGTTTAGAAAAATGAAGTGTGAAAGGGAAAAATCTTACAGGAGATGAGAACTCTGTATAAAAACAGATTTAATCCATTTTGAGGGAATCAATTTTGATTTTTACAAGAGGTTGCATTTGAAATAGTGATTTAAAAAATAGTGATTTTTTTTTCCTCTGTGGCTCCAAAAAGCATAGGCAAGAGAGAAATATTATTCAGAGAAAGCTCAATAGGAGGAGGAACTGGTCAGAGCTGTCTGAAATGGGAGGGCTGTCATGGGAGGTATTAACTGCCTGTCATTGGAGTTGAAAGCTGAGAGCAGACTGTGTGTAGTAGAGGTAGGGCAAGATAAGCTAAGACATTCTTTATACTGTCATGAGCCTTTGAGATATAAAATGATATCTTTTGTCATTATATCAGAGGAAGTACAGAAAAGTAGTATGGGGGAAGAAAGCAGAGAAAGGAGAACGAAACATAGAGGATAATGATGAGAGGATTTTTCTTAGAGTGACTTAAAGAAAATTAATAGATTAGGTGAATTTCAGAGGAGAATGCTTTGGACTTGAATTTTGGTTTTCTTTTCCTCTGACTTTGAAATCCTCTTCTGCATTCTTTTTGGAAGGAGGAGAAAAGAACCTGTATCTGGCCTTTTACTAATTACAGCAACTGCAAAGGGCATATTTGGTATTTCCCTACAAAAGTCGAAACTTATTTGTTTTTTTCCTTTGTCAGGCAAGTGGGAACAGAAAAAGCCTCAATGCATTGGTAAATGGTTTTGATTCAAGGCTGCTTGAGCTGAGTTGTTATTAATTAGTTGATCTTAGACAGTTGAGGGGCTTTGTGGTAGGGCAAGTCATACTGGGTAGAACTCAGGATCTCTGGGTCCCAACCTGGCTTCAGAGTGGTTGGTCTGGTTAGGAGCTGGGCAAATCTCTTTCTAACTTTCCTTCCATACCTTCTAAAATTTGTAATTGACAAATAAGTATGTAACTTATGGGTCTAATTGGTGTTGGACCCATGTATGCACACATTGTAAAGATTCAGTCAAGTGATTAACTTCTCCATCAGTAGCTTCATTAGCATGGCATGAAACTGAGATTGAAGCCTATTGGTGTCTTTAGTTCAGATAGTTGTGATTTTCGGGTCTTTGGCAAATCAGGTTATACCCAAGCTATTATTAATTATTAATATTATTAATCTTTTACAAAAGGTTGAAACTTGGTTTCTATGCCCAGCAAGCTAATCATGCCATCTCCCTCTAACTTATTGCTCCTTCGAAAACATGGCACAAATGCTCAAATATGTTTGTATTCTTATTTTCACAGCTTGGAGAGAGTGGGGAGATCAAAGCAATTGGAGAACTGGATTTGCTGTTTACGTACCTGAAAAATGCCTGTGTCTGACACAGGAAAGCTAGAAAATGAATAATGAATTCTTCTTGCCTTTTAAAAATAACAATAAGATTTCTGAAAGGATTTTTCTACTAAAAGGAAAATGGGAAGTCAAACTCCATCATCATGAACCCTTGCTAAGCTTAAGGAAATCAATGTCACTTTTGTCAATAAGATCAAAAAATAGGCCTGCCAACCATAGACATTTATTGATAGCATTTTATTATAACTGGTGTTTTATATAACAGAAAATAGTTTTTAAAGCCACTGTTTATTTTCACAAAAAGGATTACTTCCCATTCCTCTAGAAAAAAATCCTAAATAACTTCATTTCCATAATCAATCCTTTATATTTATAAATTTATTTATTATAAGTGTGCATTTATTTATGCCATTTATTAATATGGATTTATTTATAGAAATATTGTTTGATATTGTTATTTGAGTATAAAACTAATATTAATATTTATGATAATAATGATGGAAATATGTTTATTTGACTTCAATAAACACATGGATACCAGAAATCTTGTGTCATTGTGACTTTCCTCCTTTAATATGATTAATATCATCATCAAATCATTCTCATGACTTTATGCTTGACTCAAGGAAATGAGTATCAGTACTATTATTAAATGACCAAAGTTTAGATCTAGAATGGTTCCTATAGGCCCATATGTTAAAAGCTTAGCACCCCAAATGACGCTATTGGGAGTGGTAGAGCCTTTAGGAAGTGGGTCCTACCGGGAGGTCTTCATGTCTTTGGAGGAGTGTCCTTGAAGAGGGTCAGCTGTCTGATTTTTTCCTTCTCTAGTCCCTTCTACCTTCTCTTTCATCCAAGCCCTGATGTGAGTGGCTTTGCTCTGTCATGTGCTCTCCACTCTGATATGTTGCCTTGCCATAGGTCCAAATGCAATTGGATCAATTGACCATGGTCTGAAACCTCCAAAACTAGGACCCATAAAAAACCTTTTGTTTTTATAAGTTGGTTATTTCAGATATTTGTGATAGTGACAAAAAAATTGACTTACATCCATTTTATAGGTGAGAAAACTGAATCAGAAACTTGTTAAGAAACATTTTAAAACTATAAGTAGTTGACTTTTCTTGAGAAAGGCCTATTTCATTTTAAGGCTGTCTGCTATATTGTCTATGTCAATTTATTATGCTGATTCAGCCGTAATTCTGAAAAAAAAGGTTAACATTGAAAAGAATCCATCTACATTGTTAGCAGTTTGCTGCTAAAATACAATGTTGCTGGGGGGAAATACATGTAATCCCACTGTGGTCAATGAACTATTTTAGTTCTAAATCAGGCCTGTCAGGGAGAGCATTCTTCACTCTTCCTGCAAATTTGGCAAAAAATAATGGGGAAGCCAACCATGTTTGGGGAGTCTTTTCTACCACTGGAGTTTAGCACCGATAGAGATGTCTTAAAGCAGAAGATGGGTAATATGTTATGAAACACACAGAGGGAAAGTCGTGCATCTGTGAAATCTGTACAATGGTGCAGAGAGGAAAGAGCAGAGTAAAGACAAAGGTTGGACTAGCTCTACCTAGAAGGGAGAGAAATGTTACCTGCATTGAAGAGCATTGGTGGATTGCCTTTTCATAGAAGATGAAAGTCAGTAGTCAGGAGTTAGTGGCCAGCCGTCTAATGTGATTCCTTCTCCAAACATTAAGAGTTGTGAGTTTATTCTACAGGTCACTCTCCGTCAGGTTCCCATAGCATTAGGGCAAATGTGGTGTTAGGAGCTGCAGCTCATTCATGGATAAAATGGAGTTAATATTTCAGGGTTTGGGGTCCACATGCTGAGAGATGCCATTGTTGAGAATCTTTAGGGATGATAAAATTATCTCTATTTTTGGGATAAGCCGTTGTTTAGAACTTTTCCTGTTCTTCCAAGTGAGTCCCAGTGCTATGATATTATACTTGTTTTTGGCCAATCTTCTAGAAATTGAACCACAATTGGAAGAATATTTATTCCTTAAATTGGAAGATTTTTCTAAGAGATTTTGAAAACTTCTCCATGATATGAGATGCATTTCAGAAGCAGTTAGAGTCAAACTGTGTTTTCCTCTCCCCAGCCTTGTACATTGAATATGTAAAAAATACATTCTGTTTTAACTCCAAAAGAATGGCTGTATCTCCTCTTTCCTCCAATGGCCAAATCCTCCCTAAGCCACTATTATATCTCCTCTGAATTATCCTAACAGCTTCCAAATGTCATCACACTGTTTATTTTCTACCTAACAGCCCAAGTAAACTTAAAGAACAAGGTATTAGATTGGGAAATCTACTGATTCTCTCAATGACTTACCATCCTGCTGAGAATGAAGGCCATTGCCGCCATCGCTACCTCCTCCCAATCTTCTCACCTTCCATCCTTACGCCTGACTTCTCTGTTTTAGCCACAAGTCCGCCTTTCTGGTTCTGTCACACATCAGTTTTGCTCTTGCCTAGGAAACTGTGTATCTGCGATTCTCTACATCCAGAACAATCTTTCCTCAATTATTTCATGACCATTCCGTCCCTTCATTCAGGTTCCTCCTCAGATGTTACTACCTTAGGAAGATCCACTCTGCCCATTTATCAAAAACTGTCCTCTCACCAACCCTCTGCTCCCTCCTTTAATCGCCCCACTTCATTTTCTTCATTGTCCTTAGCACACATAAGCTAAGAAATTTATCACCTTTGGCCATTCATTTAATTTTACATGAGTACTTATTGGGTGCTTACTTTGTGCCATGGAATATGGTTAGGGCAAAGTCCCTGTCCTCAGGAAACTTCCATTCTAATGTAAGTATGACAGAAGGTATAACAAACGCTGATAAGTGCTATGAAGATGCACAAAGACCTGGGACAGATTCTGATGGGAATTATTTTAGACAGGAGGTCAGGAGGGCCTCTTGGAGGAGGAGATACCTGCATGGAGAAAGGGTATGAAAGACTGGGGATATGACAAGAGATAAACCCTGAGATGAGGCAAATTTGTGGTGTTTAGAAATAGTAGGGAGGTTGAGTCACGAGCAGGATGGGGGTGGTGGAAAGCTGAAGATGAGACCTGAGCTTTGGCTGGGGCCTGGTGTATGAGACTTTGAGGGCCATAGTAGGACTTTGGATTTTATTCTAAGGCTGACGCAAAGCCATCGGGGGAGGAGTGTTTGAATCATGGGAAAGACTTGATATGACTCATGTTTTATCTGGGTCATTCTTGCTGCTGGTGAGAGTAAATCTAGGAGGGAGAAGAGATGCTAGAGAAGGGCAAGAGTACAGGAAAGAGCTGATGATTGCATTGGATTAGATGGCAGTAGAGTCAAAGAAAATGGGAATTTCACTATTGCTGTGACCCTCAGCCTGGGCTTCTGGGAAATAAGACTTATGTGTGGATCATATTCACTAACAGCAAAAGGAATCTTTTAGTTTTTATTTGGTTCTTCATCTACACTATATTATTTTCTTGCATACAGTGCTTTATACAGGAATTGAAGTAAGGATAGAGAGGTGATTTTGTTCTGAGAGGAGGTTAAAATTTGAAGATTGGAGTAAATATACTCAAATTAGATGATGAGAGTGAAGGATTGAACCCAAAAGCCAAAGACTGAGGTCTTATTGTCCCTTAGGCAACTATAGTCATTGTGAATTTATCCTGAAAATCAACTTTGAGGACTATTCATTGTTGAAAAACAAGGAGGAGCAGGCTGAAGTGACTGATCCTGCTCACCATGGGGAAATGGTATTGCTGGTACACCGTTGGGGTAGGTGGATGGAAGTGGGACCACAGGGACTCACTGGACTGTCTCATTAATGGAGAATTGTGTCAATTGCAGGATCTACAAGCACTCCATTTTGGCAGGAGTGAGAATTTAAGGCACTTAACCAGGTGAAAAACTCCATCCAACTGAAGTTGGATGTTGGCAGAAAGTAAAAAGAGAATAATATGGGTAGAGAAGGGAGGAACCCATGAGTATTAACCTAGGTCTTGTGAACAGCAATAAAAGTAGGAATTTCTATTAATTAATTGTCCTTTCTTCTCCCTTCCTCCCCTCACATGGAGAATACTTGCACTGGCTAATATTTTAGTTTTCAGGTGAAAATATGACCACATTGACCTATCCTGTAATGATATGGTAGCTGATGAAATTCCATGGTTTTCTGTATTGGGAACTATATATTCTTTTTACCTGGACAAAGACAAGAGTGGGTGCTGAAGACAAAAGAGATGGGTTGTGTCCTTGTGGCCCCTCCAGTTTCATACTCTATCCTTTCATACCCTATCTTTTGCCACTCTTCTTTGTGCCCAGAAAGGCTGGCGTACAGATTTTCTTACATACATGCTGCTCTATGGCCTTTGATTGTATTTGTCGGATGGGAGAAGTTAGCAGGAGAGTAAGGTCAGGTTAGTGATCCCCCAAAGCCCTCCTCTAGGTTGCCATTCAAGTTAGCTTCGTGTTTCTCTGAAAAGCTGGAGCTCCTGCAGCCCTCCTCTTTTTGTTGTCGACATTCTGGAAACTCTCAATCCTGGCCTTCAATGGGCTTCCAGATATTTTGAGACTTATAGCGTTGCATTATTTCTTGTTGGTTTTCTTAAACTCTCTCCACACTTTTAAAATCAATCTTATTAAACTCTTAAACTCTTTTCCATAACCCCTTTTGCGTGTGCCCTGTGTCTTCCACGGGGCCCCTGACCTGTGTACTTTTTTCTTTCCTATTCTCCTCCTTCTCCCCACCCCCCACCCAGTAGCAGGATGGAGTCTGGGAATCTAGATAAGATTATTTATTTATAGACAATACATAAAGTCATTTATTTTGCCTGTCAGAACTGTGTATACATATTTGACCTTGTAATAAAATAAATTGAGAAGCAATAGTACTTTTGTTTCTAAAATTGGAGTACTTTGTTTAAGAAAGTTCCCCCTATTTCTCCAACAGATTCCTGCACAGGGAAATAGAGGTGCTTAGATTAAGGTGCACCATTACGTAAAGGCACCTAGACAATCTCTTCTACCTC